GATCAAACGTGTCAGAGACATGGAAGATGTAACAAAAGAAAAGGCCCGAACAGAACTTCTCAAAGTGAAAACTACAATACCTGAGATGAGAAATACACTGAATGGAAATACAAGTGACAGATACCGCATTAGAAAAGATTCACGAACCTGAAGACCCAGCAGGAGCCTATCCAAAACCAAATTTAGAGGGGGAGAAAAAAGACTGGAAAACTGAACCCAGTGTCAGTGGACTGTGGAACAACCCCAGGCTGCCTATATGCATGTAACTGAAGTCGCAGGAAAAGAGGAGAGAGAAGCAGTACTGGAAAAAATTGGGAGGGAAGACTTTCAATTTGCTGGAAATTGTAAACCTACAAATCCAAGAAGCCCAATGAACCAGAAGGACAGGGTATCTTGGCATATCATACTCAAACCGTGCAAATCAGTGATAAAGAGAACATCTGGATGGCTCAGTGGTTAAGTGTCTGCCTTCAGCTTAGGTCATGATCCCAGGGTCCTGGAACTGAGTCACATGTTGGGCTCCCTGCTCAGCGGGGTGCTTGCTGCTCCCCGTTTGTATGCTTGCTCTCGAGCACTTGCTTTCTCTCTCTCTCTGGCAGGTAAAATCTTAACAAAAAAAGGAGAGAACCTCTTACAAGTAGCCAGAAAGAAGCCGTGCTGCAAGCAAACCACGGATAGCAGATTTCATTGAAAACAGGGCATTGGGAAGCAGCAGAGCAACATCTTTAAAGTACTGAAAGGTGAAATTGCCAACTAGAATTCTATGCTCTGCCAGCAAACCTTTACACCACGAAGGGACAGCAAAGACATTCTCAGACACACGAAAACAGAAAGGCTTCACTACCACTAGACCCATGGGACAAGAGGTAGTCAAGAAACTCAGGCAGAGAGAAGGAGAATGATCCCAGGTGAGTCTACAAAACAGAATGAAACCACTGGAAGAGGTAACTACATGGGTGAACAGTTGCAGAAATAACCACTACCTACACAAGAATGGCAGCAGTGTAGGGTGGGACTTACAACATATGTAGAAGGGAAACATAAGCCAACAAACAAATGCCAGAAGGGGGAAGCAGAAGTACCCTACTGTTGGGTTTTTATACTATACGTGAAGTGATATAATATTTCCAGAAGGTGGGCTGTGAACAATCGAATGTGTACACCAGGAGCCCCAAAGCAACCACTAAAACAAAGCCCACTCTAAATATTAACATACCCAGGTCAAAAGTAAAAAGGTGGAAAAGATGTAACATGCTGGCACTAATTAAAAAAAAAAATGCTAGAGTGAATACATTAATACAAGACAAAGTGTATTTTATTGTTTTATTTTTTAAAAAGATTTTATTTATTCACTGAGGGGAGAAGCAGAGGGAGAGGAAGAAGCAGGTTCCCCATGGAGCAGGGACCCTGATGCAGGGCTCGATCCCAGGACCCTGAGATCATGACCTGAGTCAAAGGTAGATGCTTAAACTATTGAGCCCTGCAGGCACCCAGACAAAGTATATTTTAGAGCAGAGAATGTACAAGGGATAAAGAAGGTCATTTCACAAGAAAAAAAAGGCCAATTCATCAAGAAGACATGACACTTCTAAACATCTGTGCACAAAATAAGAGTGCTTTCAAAATGCACGAAACAAAACCAGCAGTACCACAGACAAATCCACAGTTAAGGTCAGAGATTTCTGTTCTTCTGAAGCAGAACAAGTACTGAGAAAACTAGTAAGGACAGACAGGACCTGAACAACAGTATCAACTGCCCTGACTTAGTTTACACAGAGAACATTCAACCCAACAGCAGCAGAATAAACGTTCTTCCCAGTGTGCACAGAACAGTCATCCAGAGAAACCATATCACAGACCATAAAACAAGTCTTGACAAATAATAGAAAAATTCGGATTCTGCATTTTCTCTGACCACAATGGGATTAAATTAGCAATCAGTAACAGAGCCGTGGAAAACCCCCAAATCTGTGGTGCTGAAGTAATGTATGATAAAAAACAAACACAGAGACACGTGATGATGAGTGATTTCAAAGGAGACAGCTGGGGGTAGTAGACAGTATCAGAACACGATGAAAATGACACAATCCATCAAAATGTATGGGATGCAGATTTTAATTTGTATTAAATTCCAGTAGGGAAAAAAATGTCTGAAATCTGATTATTCCAGTTGAAAAACTGGAAAAAGAAGAGGAAGATAAAAGCAAAGTAAGCAGAAGAAAGGAAATAAAGACCAGAGCAGACGTCAGTGACGTAGCAAACAGGAAAACAATGAACAAAGCCAGTGCAATCGTAAGCCTGTGCTTTGAGAAGTCCAATCAAATCAATCAGACTCCAGCCAGACAGATCAGGGGAAAGAGAAAGACAGAAGGTGCCAACCTCAGAAATGACAGAGGAGCATCATTAGAGATCTAACAGGTGTCAAAAGAAGAATAAGGGAACATCATGAACACTTTTATTCCAATAAACCTAACAACGTAGACAAAATACACCAATTCTTTGAAAGACACGAACTAAGTTCACTCAACAAACAGAAACCCTGAACAGCCCTGTGTCTATGGCAGAAACTCAATCTGCAGTTCAACACTTGGCCAGGAAAACTCTAACCCCACATGGCTTCGCTGATCCCTAGTCATTTTAAATTTGAGACCTATGACAGCCCAACATATTCTATATCTCAGCGAACATATCGTGAGCGCTTGAGAAGAATGAGTATTGTGCAGGTATCGGGTACTGTGTTCTCTCAGGTCAACTAGTCAATGTCGTTGACAGCATCACTCAGATCATCTACTTTACTCATTTTCTGTCCAGATTTTTTAAAATTTTACTTAACCGTCTAGATGTTTTATCAACTGTGCAGAAGGGGTGTTACATTTCTCAACTATGGTTATGGAAAGTCTATTTCTCTCTTTAACTCTATTTTTACCTCCTATCTTGGAAGCTTCGTTATTAGCAAATATGTATAATATATTCGGATCGCCGTGTCTCCCCGGTGAACAGTTTGCCACCACAAAGGGTCTTTGGGAAGACCCTGTCTTAAAGTCTGAATCATACGGGCTCGCCAGCCTTCTTAAGCTTCTCATTTGTGTTGTGCTTCTTTCCCCTTTCATTCTCAACCCATTTGTGGATTTTTATTTAAGCTGTAATTCCCCACAGTATACGGCTGGGTCTTTTCTTTTCTTTTTTTTTAATCTGTTCTGACAATTTCTGCCTTTTAATGGGAGTAGACATAGTCAGGTTTAGAGTGATTATTATTCGTTTGACATACGCCTCTGGTGGTGATGGCTATTCTCTCTTCCTCCTTTTCTGCCCTTCTTTTGGATGATTTGTGTGTTTATCATTTTTTCTTAGGGCGAGCACGCATGTGAGTGGGGCGACAGAGGGGGCAGAGAGAGGAGGGAGAGAGAACCTCAAGCAGGCTCCACACCCAGGGCGGAGCTTGATCCCATGACCCTGAGATCACGACCTGAACTGAAACCAAGAGTTGGATGCTTAATTGACTGAGCTACCTAGGTTTGTGTGTTTCTTAAAATCACACATTATCTCCTGGCTTTATTTCACACTCCAACTTGACCCTACTACAGATTCAAAAATATGTGTTAATGGAATGGTTTCTGGAGGCTACTTATTAATGTCTGATTCCCTACTCTGCCACTCATCTGCTGTGTGACTTTGGGCAAGTTAAGGGACTTAATCTGTTTGTGCCCTAACTGCTCTGTATATGTGATGGAGATCATAACTGGCAGGGAAATGTATATGTGCTCAAAGTCCTCAGACCCCATTTGTAAGTAGAGTCACGGGATAAGCTTCAGGAATATAAGCTTTCCAGAAAGCAGAAGTCATATGGATACTCTACAGATCTCCTGATTCTGTTTCCTGTCCTTGGAATAAAGAGGTGGCGCCACCGATGCTGTGACTGGTTTAGATCAGGAGAAACAATTATCAGTAAATATTCCCTGAAGTGAAAGCTTAGAGACTTCAGTATGAGTTCTTTCAAAATGGTAATATATACCACAGTACAAAAAGTTTAAAGGCATAATCAAAAAAATCTTTCCCCGCTGGATGAGACCCACCTTGTACGGACTATCACTGGCAGCTGTATGTCCACATGGGAGTTGAAAGTATTAAGAAAGGGACACTAAAAAATGTGCATCTTCCCCTTCCTGAGGGACAAGCTCAGCTCCGGTAGAACGATTTTCAGTTTATTAGAAACATAATCTAATCTCCCCACAGCTGTGCCTCTGGCGTCTTCCCACCGACCCCCAGCCCACCCGTCAATACTATACTCTCCATCTTCGAGGGTCAGTGTGAGGATTAAGGGAGTTAATTCCTATGAAGGACGTGGGATAGATGGCAGCACAGAGTAATAGCTCCGCGTGTGCTGAGGATCTGCCACTGAAGACTAGCAAAGGAACTGAAAAACCTGATTTAACACTTTTGTCACCAGTTCTTGTCCACCAAATTGTTATAATGACAAAGTCAAAGGATGGGAGGCAGTAAAAAGGAACAAAAAGAAGACATCAGAGTAATTTGCCAAGTCATTATGTTATTAAAAGAGATTTTAAACACACCCTCCTCATTATCATCAGGCCAATAGGAAAATGTGGATGTCAATCCAGTCACAACCACAGAGTCTGACAAGGACACCTTCTTTCAAGTGCAGCAACAAAGTGACCTAATGCAGCCCCACAGGAAACTTCATTAGTGATGGTTAACACTAACTGAGGACTTACTACTATGTCATCAGGTACTGTTTCTAAGTGCTTCCCACACATCAGCTGATGTGACAACAAATGACAATGACTTAGAAATACAGTCCCAACTATGTAACCAATATAAACATGACGGTATTTCCAAAAGTTCTTTAACTGAGTAAAAGAAAGGAAAACATAATTATAATTTAGAAGTCATTCCTAAATAACTGATGTTAAGGGCTTTTGTTTTCTCACAGTAGTATAATTCCCGCCGAGTGTACTTGAGAGCAGAAGGTGAAGCGGCACCTGTCTCTGGTGGTGGGGCAGGAATGAGCGGGCTGCGGTAGCTGCACTGGTTCAGGCCAGAGCCCAGGCTCAGGGCCGTGGGGGCCAGGGTCCTCGGAGTGCCTCCTGCAGCGTGTGCGGGCCGCCCGGTGGTCGGCATCTCCAGGTTGGCTATGGCTGGGATCTGAGACACCACTGGGGGCACAAGAGAAAGTCACAATGAAAAGAAAAATCCCCACAAGAAATTTACAATGAAGACTCAGTTGGCAGATGTTTGCTACGGACGAGCTAAAACTTCTTGGCCATAAAAGAGCCACAGGAAACAGGCTCATTTATGATTAACGAAATAAGATAAAAATTGAGAAACAGAAAGGGATGGCTTTGTAATCATCCTGTCCATCGAGGAGGGCACTCGTGTTACCGTGCAAGGCTTCAGCATCATTTGCCTTGTGGTTGTGTCTGTCTTCTTCGGAGGATGAAGAGGTTGTATTGGTACAGGATACACACTTTCTTTTCAAAGCTGGAATGTTGTAGCTCTTCAGGTATCTGCAACAACAGAATTAGGTCACGCATGCCTGCCTGTCCCCTAACTCTGCCACTTCCCACATTTCTGCTTTTCTCACAGCACTTCTGTGTGGGTACTTTGTACTCTCGTGTTTAATGAGGTCTTCCCTGACCATCCCAGCCTCATTCACTGGCCTGTCGTATCTCTTTTACTGTGACCTTGTATTGATCTCCAAATCTTGCTTCATTTATTTTTATGATCAAGGTCTTGTCTTCTCAACCATGCCACTGCTCCTTCAAAGAAGGGATCCATCTTCTAATGTATTGCAGCCCTTGAAATGCTCAATTTATTATAAATTATATGTAAGTAGGCTCTCCGTAAATGTCTAGTGACTTAGGAGTGAAAAATCAAGACAATCAGTAATAAAAGGGATGTAAGGTGTGTGCTACAATGGCGGTGTGCACTTTCAGAAAACGGACATGTTCTCACACTCGTGTCTCACACCTGATAACACTGTCAATGCAGTTTATTTGCTGGTACGATGGGTTATGCTGGTCTTTTCTCCAATCTTCATAAGACTCCGTGGGCACACTGTTGTTTTTTAATGTCTGGAAGGTAGATGAGGCCTTCTGCTCATCTGAAACAGAACAAAAGGATGTGTAATTAAAAACATTATATACCTGGGGCGCTCAGGTGGCTCAGTTGTTAAGCGTCTGCCTTCGGCTCAGGTCAAGATCCCAGGGTCCTGGGACTGAGTCTGGAATTGGGTTCCGTGCTCAGCAGGAAGCCTGCGTCTCCCTCTCCCACTCCCCCTGCTCGTGTTCCCTCTCTCACTGTGTCTCTCTCTGTCAAATAAGTAAATAAAATCTCCAAAAAATCTATTACATATCTAAGAACTTACCCAACAAAGCTAGATCAGGTCCTTTAGCATTATACATTCAAGAGAATAATATGGAGCTATTAAAGACGAACTCAGCTTTAAAAAAATGCACCGATACAGAAAGATATCCATATGGAATGATTAAATGAATACTTTTTTTTTTTTTTTACAAAAAAGGAGTGAAACAGATGTGTCAGGCAAAGATTAATAGTAAAACTATCAGGTGGAAGGCTAATGAGGACTTCATGATACTGAGCTGACACTACCTGCCAAGTGACCGATGGTGGCCTTACCGGGGTTGGGATGACCAGACAGAGTGAAGTGCAAGGCAGTGCCCTCCAGACCTGTGTCCAACAGGACTTTCTGCAGTGACAGAAATGCCCTGCATCTGTACTGCCCCGCACCGCGGCCACCAACACCACAGGTGACCATTAAGCACTTGCAATGTGGCTACAGCAACTGAGCAACTAAATTTTAAGATTTATTTATCTGTAACTATTTTGAATTTAGAGTGTGGAAAGTAGCTACCATACTGGACAGAGGGGGTACAGAGAGAAGACACAAGGCCTCAGGTTGGAACCGTGACAAACTTAAATCTTGTGTGGAGAACGACAAGCCAAGAATAGAGGCTGAAAAAGCACATGGAGAAAGGTAAGAGAGAGCCCGCCAACATGGCGTCATGGAAATCAAGACAGGGAAACTGGGTCAAGGAATGAGGAACCACAGTTACATCAAACACTGCTGAGAAGCTGACTTAGCTACCGTTGTTGCTGTTAGTGAAGGTCATCTTAGCTGCCTGGCAGATGCTGCTTCATTTCCAGAGGGGATTACAGAAAAAGGCCTGTTTAACTGTCACTTGTTAACTTTTTTTTTAAGATTTTATTTATTTGACACATACACCCACACAGGCAGAGAAAGAGGGAGAAGCAGGCTCCCCGCTGAGCAGAGAGCCCGATGTGGGGCTAGATCCCAGGACTCTGGGATCATGACCCGAGCTGAAGGCAGTCGCTTAACCAATAGAGCCACCCAGGCGCCCCAAACTTCTATACTTAAAAAGATTATCTTTAAGATAATAAAAATAGGGGTCTTGACTTTATGACCCTGAGATCAAGAGTCACACACTCCACCAACTGAGCCAGCCAGGAGCTCCTATACTTTTAATTTCTACATAATTTTAACCTTGAAGAGGGTTACAGAAAGAGTAGAGTTCCCGTATACCCTCCACCCTGCTTCTACGGATGTAACACCTTACAGAACTATTAACAGAACAAAGAAAACTAGAAATGCACAGGGGAAACTAGCTTCTCTGTGAAATTTTCTGCTCCAGGGTCCAACCCAGGGTCTCACAGTGATTTTAGTTGTCAGTGTGTCTTTCCTGACCTCAACTCTTGTCAAGAGTACAGGACAGGAATTCTGTGGAAATGCCCCTCAACCTGAGTTGCCCTGATGTTCTATCATGATGAACCTGAGGCTATGCCTCTTGGGGAAGATTCCCACAGAGGTGCTGTGCCCTTCTCAGTACCTCACAACAAGGGGATATGACCTTGACATGTTCACTGCTGGTGTGTCAGCCTTGATCACTGGTTAAGGTCTGTCTGCCAGGTTTCTTCCACATAAAGTTACTATTTTACATGTAATACATGATGTAAACAATAAATGTTTCAAAGTCGCACTTTGAGGCCATGCAGGCTTTCTCTTACACTTTCACCTACTGGTGAATGGATTTAATGCCACCAAACTGTACACTTAAAAATGGTTAAAAATCGGTTACACACATCCATTCACTGTTGAATGACATCTAGGTTGTTTCCAATTTGGGATGAGTGCGAACGACTGTGATAAACATACACAGACAAGTTCATGTGTGAATGTGAGTTTTTCTTTTACCTGAGTAAATAAGAATGGAATTGCGGAGTCATACGGTAAGAGTATGTTTAATTTATAAGAAACTGCCAAACTTTTTTTTTTTTTTTAAGATTTTACTTATTTACTTGTCAGAGAAAGAGTGTGTGCACAAGCAGTCAGAGTGGCAGACAGAGGAAGAGAGAGAAGCAGGCTCCCCGCTGAGCAAGGAGCCCGATGCGGGACTTGATCCCAGGACCCTAGGATCATGACCTGAGCCGAAGGCAGACGCTTAACCAACTGAGCCACCCAGGAGTCCCAAAAACTGCCAAACTTTTTAAAGAGGCTGTATAATTCCACACGGCCTTCAGCACTGCCTGGGGGCTCTGGTTCTTCCGCATTCTTGCCAGAACTTGGCATTCCCAGTATTTTTTTTTTACTTTTAGCCATTCTAATGGGTGTGTGAAGGTATCTCATGCGTTTTTTTTTTTTTTAAGATTTTATTATTTGAGAGAGAGCATTAAAGGAGAGAGGTCAGCGGGAGAAGCAGACTCCCCACTGAGCAGGGAGCCCAACTCAGGACTCAGTCTCAGGACTCCAGGATCATGACCTGAGCAGAAGGCAGTTACTCAACCAGCTGAGCCACCCAGGTGCCCCTCTCATGTGGTTTTAACTTCATAACATCTGAAATTGAGTGTTGTTTCCCATGCTCTTTGCCACCTGTATGTACTTCACTGGAAAAGTGTCAGGTATCTTGACCATTTTTTGAATGGATTATGTTCTCATTGTTAAATTTTGACAGTTTTTTTAAGTATTCAGGATATGAATTTTATCCATAACTTGTAAATATTGTCTTTTCATTGTCTTACCAACATCTTTCAAGACATCTTTAATTTTATCTATAACTTGTATATACTGTCTTAGCAATGTCTTTCAAGAAGTTTTTAATTTTTATAAAGTCCACTTCAACAATTTTTTTTATGGATCACACTTTTGATGTCGGATCTAAAACCTTTTTGCCAAACCCAAGATCACAAAGGTTTTCTCCTAGGTTTTCTTCTAAAAGTTTGTAGTTTTAAGTTTTTTTTTTTTTTTTAAAGATTTTATTTATTTATTTGACAGACAGAGATCACAAGTAGGCAGAGAGGCAGGCAGAGAGAGAGAGAGGAGGAAGCAGGCTCCCTGCCGAGCAGAGAGCCCGATGCGGGACTCGATCCCAGGACCCTGAGATCATGACCTGAGCCGAAGGCAGAGGCTTAACCCACTGAGCCACCCAGGCGCCCCTGTAGTTTTAAGTTTTATATTTAGGTCTATGACCAATTTTGAGTTAACTTTTGTAGAACATGTGAGCAGTATGCCGAGGTTCATTTTTTACATATGTGGATGTCTCATTGTGTAGTACCTTTTTTTTTTTTTTTTGGAAAAGCTACCTTTTGTCCATTGATTTGATCTTGCACCTCAAAAACTGACTGTATTTGTGCAGGTCTGTCTTGGAGCTCTCTCATCTGTCCACTGATCTTTTCACCAGCGTCACACTGTCTTAACTACAGTGGCTTCACAGTTAAGTCCTAAAATCAGAGAGAGTGAGTCCTCTAACACTGTTACTCTTTTTCAAAATGGTTTTGGCTGTTTTAGTTTCTTTTTTTCCCCCACAGAAGTCTGGGGATCCATCTAATGATACCTATTCAGAAACAAAATCCTGTTGAGAGTTTACTTAGAATGACATTAAATGTACAGATCAAACTGGGGAGAACTGATAATATTGTATATTCCAAACCATGAACAGGATATATCTTTTCATTTACTTAGTACTTCTAAAAGTTTTTTCATCAGTGTCTTAAAGTTCTCTGCATATGGATTGTTCCACATATTCTGTTGGATTTTTTATATAAGTATTTTATATAGTTTAATTAAAAATTTACATATAAGCTTAATTAAAAAAAAATTCTGTTCCAACTGTTCCTTGTTAGTACATAGAACTTTAACTGGTCTTATATGTTGACCATGTATTTATAACCTTGCTAAAGTCAGTAGAAGCTTTTTTATAGATTCTTTGGAATTTTTCTGTTAGACAATCCTGTCACCTGCAAATAGAGTTTTATTTCTTCCTTTCCAATCTGTTATGTCTTTTATTTCTCTTGCCTATTGCACTGCAGGACTTTCAGTTTGATGTTAAGATGTGGTTAGTGGATACCCTTCACCTATTCTCCAGGTTAGGGTGGAAGCATTCTCTCACCATCAAGCATAATAGATTCCTTTTTTGTTAGGTTAATGAAATCCCTTTTCCACTTCTAATTTTTGAGCATTTATCACGTGTGGGTGTTCGATTTGTCACATGCTTTTTCTCCATCTATTAAAATAACCTGTTGGGTTTGTCTTTTTTATTCTGTTAATATGGTGAATAAATGTGGCTGACTTTCACATATTGAACCAGCCTTGCATTCCTAGAATAACTCATACTTGGTTGTGATATATTTGTCCTTTTTATACGTTACTGGTTTTGATTTGGTGATATATACTGGGGATTTTACAAATATGTTGGCAATGGATCCTGGTCTGTAGTTTTCTTGAATTGTATTTATCTTGTTTCAGTATTAAGGTAATAATGGGCTCATAAAAGGAGTCTGGGAGTTTCCTTTTCAAAACTGCTTTCATTTTCTTCTGTCTTCTATTTTCTGAAAAAGATTATGTAAAAACCGGCATTATTTCTTCCTTGAATGTTTGATAGAATACTCCAGTGAAACCAACTGGGCCTAGAGTTTTCTTTTTGGAAGGTGTTTAACTCCAAATTCCATATCTGTAATAGATATGTCTATTCTAGTGGTTTCTTTTTCACTGAGTTCTGATAGGTTCTTTAAATTATTAATAGACCAAAGTGATAGGAATAGTCTGATAGGTTCTTTAAATTATTAATA